TAGGGAACTCCCTGCCCCCAACAGTGTTCCATCTCCTGTGCCCCAAACTTATCCCCTGCCCACCTGGCCCCCTGTTCCCTCTTCCTTGCCTCCTCACCCCGCTGCAGAAACCTGCCCCCCCTCTGCAGAAACTTGTCCCCCTGCACCCTGCCCCCCCTGCAGAAACCAGTTCTTCTTCGAGTGGTTGCTCATGTCCATTCGAAGTAGGTGTGCGCACCGCGTACACCGCATCTTCTGGAGCGTTTTCCCTAGTGGTACCCGTAGTGCCGGCAGGGCGCCCCCTGGAGTAGCGCCGCCATGGCGGGGCATAAGTACCCCTGCCGGCGCTGCCCCACCTCAGTTCTTTCTTACCGCAGCGACGGTCGTTGGAGCGTCTCTATCTTTCTTAGTCTCTAGTTAGTTAATGGTTCCCATTCTCACATTGGTTTGTAAATAGGTCTTGTAGTTAGATAAATAAGTTTCACTGTTTTGGTCCTTCTCCCTTGGAGTTAAGGAATGCCAGGGCCGCAAGGCTTCAAAACATGCACTGACTGCGGGAAGTTTATGCCAGGGGCGACCCACACGACAGTTGTCTTAAGTGCTTAGGTGAGGCACATCTGGCTATTGCCTGTAAGATCTGCAAGTCCTTTAAGCCCCGTACCAGAAAAGAAAGGGTTTCCCGCCTGAAGCTTCTCCTCATCAAGACAGCGCTTCAACCGGTGCCGCCGGAACAGCCCGCGGTGCGCAGTGCACCGGCTTCCACGCGGGAGGCTCCTCACCGGCACCGTGCATTGGCGTCGAGGTCTCGGCACCAGTCTCACTCTCCTCCGACTAAGAGAGTGAAGAAATCATGGGGAAGGTTCCCTTTGAAGAAGGCAACTTCGGCTGGGCACCGCGCCGTGGGCTCACTGGTGCGCGTATCGCCCCCACCGCACCATTGGCGCCGAGGAGGCCTTGATAGTCCTGGTCGCCTGCCTCCACACCGTCCGTCCACGCCGGATACGTTCAAGGCAGCGCAGGACCTCATTAGCCTCACGACCTCCCCTCCATCCTCAGTTGACTTGGAAGGGTCGAGATCACCATTGTTGGAGACTCAGCTGGCTACGGTTTCGCCCCAGCATGGCCCAGGTTATCATGCTAAAGTGGCTTATGCGTCGGGACCACCCCATGTGGGGTCAGTACCTATCGCTACTTCGGTACGCTTCTTGACGCCGAACCGTCATTCTCAGGGAGCTTCCAGCCATGCGCGAATTTCGCTGCAGTTGAGCTCTTTGCCAGCTCCCCGCCTGGCGGTGCTGGTGCCGTATCTGAGTAGCCATGTGGCGTCCACTCAGACATCTTTCTCCTCCATGGAGGTCACCCAGGAGCCAGTGTCTGTCTCCGTGCCTTCATCTGCACCGGCATCGACGCAGTGGTCTCGACAGGCACTGGGCCTGGGTACCCCGGTGCTGCAACCACCGGCCGCAGCTCACCCGGCACCGGGCCTGAGCACCTCGGTGCCACAGCTGCTGGCGTCTCAACCGGCACCGGGCCTGGGCACCCCGGTGCCGCAACTGGCGATGTCGCAGTCTGTACCAAGTCTGGGTGCCCCGGTACCACAACTGGGTGCCGTAGAACCCTCGGCACCGGGTCTGGGTCCCCCGGTGCTGCAACCGTCAGCGAGCCTTCCAGCACCGGGCATGGGTCCCCCGGTGCCGCAGATCGCTCGGCCCCGACGTACTCATGCGGGTAAGCCAGAGTCCATGGCAAGGTTTGCCCCGCGCTCCTCCTCAGCTCCACCATGGCCGGAGTCCGGTTACTCTTCGGACTCGGATGCTGTCTCAGTCCGTTCGGGCTCTTCGGGAGCGTCCTCGGCCTACAGGTCCAGGTCCAGACATAGGAGGGACCACACTCAACAGACGTGGCCTCCGCACCCGCAGTGGCCTTTCTGGACCCCCTGGGCCTACCATCAGTGGCAAGGTCAGCTGCCTCCTTCTCTGGGGTCGGGGACCTCAGGGCACCGATCCCAACCGTCGGCGTGCCTGTCCTGGGCCCCCCCCTCCCCTCTTCGGGCGTGGACCCCCTGGGCCTACCATCAGTGGCAAGGTCAGCTGCCTCCTTCTCTGGGGTCGGGATCTTCAGGGCACTGATCCCACCCATCAGCCTCCCTGTCCCGGCCCCCCTCCCCCTTCGGGCGCCGCAACCCGATCCAGCGGCACCGCAATCCTCGGCACCGGAGGTGGACCCATCGGGAGCGCAAGCCGCCCAGACGGCACCGCAGTTGGCGACAACTGTTCCTGTGCCAGTTCAGGAGTCCTCGTCCTCGTCGTCTCCGGATGAGGCACTAGCAGACCCTGCACCGAGTCTGCCGTCAATGGATGCCCGCACGCATCAGGACCTCCTCCGCCGCATGGCTTCCAACTTAGCCGTTACGGTGGAACCTGTCATCGAGGACACGGATCCAATAGTGGACATCCTCACGGAAGATGCATCTACACGATTGGCCTTACCGCTTAACAAAACGGTGTCAAAGATTACCAATGCCCTGTGGCAAACACCGGCAACCTTGACCCCTACCTTAAAAGGGGTCGAGAGGCATTATTATGTTCCAAACTCGGGACATGAATACCTGTATTCACAACCCATCCCCAGGTCCTTGGTCGTACAAGCCGCGGCCCAGAAGGAAAGACTCCCTCAGCCTGGTCCTTCCCCAAAGGCGAGGGAACCTAAGCGGCTGGACCTGTTGGGCCATTAGGTTTACGCCACAGGAGCGCTGCAACTCCGCATCACAAATCAACAGGCGATGCTAAGCAGGTATGCTTTTAACACTTGGCAGGCCACCGAAAAGTTCCAAGACAGACTCCCTGTGGAGGACCGTCAGGAGTTTGCGGCGGTTGCTTCGGAGGGTAAAGATATCGCGCGGACCGCACTCCAGGCGGCTCTGGACACTGTGGACTTAGCAGCCCGCACGATGGCGACTGGGGTCGTTATGCATCGGGGGGCATGGCTCCATGTCTCGGGAATTCCCCCGGATGTGCAGCATACGATACAGGACTTGCTTTTTGAGGGCAAAGCTCTGTTCTCGGAGCACACTGACTCTAGGCTCCATACCCTAAATGACACAAGGTCTACCTTGAAGTCCTTGGGCATTCACACGCCGGCTCCACAGCGGTGACAGCTGCCCTATAGGCAGCAGGGGAGGGCGCAGGCCCAGGTTCCCCGTGAGGATTACCGGAGGCGCCGCTCCCGGGCCTCCGGTGGAGATTCCAGGGCGGCCGCGCACCCTCAGGGTACTGGGGGTCGACGTCATCGCCCCAGAACCGATGCCCAGCGGGGAGGTCCTCATGGTCCTTCCCATCAGGGCAAACCCCAGTTTTGACGCCCTGTTCGAGAGTCCCGTACTAATCTCCCGCCCTGGCCCCCCGTTTGGGGCCAGACTATCCCTTTTTGCCCAGGCATGGGCCATAATAACATCAGATGCCTGGGTTCTGAACATTGTGAATGGAGGCTATTTTATCCCGTTCCTAGGTCCGCCACCCTCAAAACCCCCTTCTCCGTCCCTAGCAAGGGACACCCCTCACGAACACGTACTGTGTCAGGAGGTGTCTGTGCGCCTCGAAAAAGGAGCAATAGAGGAGGTTCCTCCGCATCTGCGAGGAAGGGGTTTTTACTCCCGTTATTTTGTTGTCCCCAAGCCGAAGGGAGGGGTCCGCCCCATCTTGGACCTTCGAGATTTAAACAAGGCGGTCATAAAACACAAGTTCAGAATGGTGACCTTGGCATCGGTCATCCCAGTGCTACAATTGGGAGACTGGTACGCGACTCTCGACCTCAAGGACGCGTACTTCCACGTGGCGATCAGACCCAGCCACAGGAGGTTCCTCAGGTTTATGGTGGCCCAATCCCATTTTCAGTTTACGGTGCTCCCTTTTGGTTTATGTACGGCACCGAGGGTATTCACGAAATGCATGGCAGTGGTTGCTGCATATATCCGCAAACAAGGTGTGTACGTGTTCCCGTATCTCGACGATTGGCTGATTTGAGGTCGCTCGTCCAGGCAGGTAGAAGCTCACGTGGCACTCACAAGAGCCCTCTTCCTAAGGTTGGGACTCATGATTAATGTCGAGAAGTCATCCCTGACTCCCTCCCAACAGATAGAATTCGTGGGAGCCCTCCTCGATTCGAGGGTGGCAAGGGCGTTCCTGCCCAAGAACAGGTTCCTCTCCATAGTGGAGCTGATCTCGGGGTTAACCCGATCCCCTATCACAACCCCTCGGGTCTGCTCCAGGCTCCTGGGCCATATGGCGGCGTGTACGTACATGGTCCGCCATGCCAGATTGAGGATGAGACCCCTGCAGGCGTGGTTGGCGAGGGCCTTCAGCCAATCCAGGGGTCTTT